TGATGCGGCTGCGCACAGCAGGTGCCTTCTGAGCAGCACCGGGCTCTTTGGCTTTAAAAGTATTCCGACCGTATTGGATAATGCGCCGGCGGTCACGGTCAACCGTTGGGCGATCGGAGTGTGCGGTTTTTGGGGCCGACCTTTTCTAACCCGTCCTTCCTCGGGGGAAGGCAGCATCGCTGCTTCCACAAATATGGACATGATGGTCGCCTGGGGGAAACACCTTACTGCCTTCACACTCCTGTCGAAGAGGACAGTACGACTTTACCCTCAGACCGCCCCTGTACCACGATTGCTGGTAGTGCGGGGTCTCGCTGCTCTTGGTCTGGTTGCTCCCCTTTGGCCTTCCTGGCATGGTTGTACCTTGCGGAACGAAGTTCCAGCCAGTGTAGCCCGCGGGAACATTGCAGCACTCAAACCCGACCACCACGTCAAGGTGGCAGCTTTAGGTCGGGTGCAAGCCTGCTCTGCTCAATCGGAGCTTCCACGAAAGCCCAGTAAGCGTAGTCCCATTCCTTTGTTCATTTTGTTCACGGGCGCCTCTTGTGGATTCAGGCTCGTCAAGGTGGCAGCTTTAGGTCGGGTGCAAGCAGGACCTGCTCAATCGGAGCTTCCACGAAAGCCCAGTAAGCGTAGTCCCATTCCTTTGTTCATTTTGTTCACGGGCGCCTCTTGTGAGACAGATTCAGGCTTCTGATAGGGCAGTCGGGTGAAATGACGACCAGAGAGCGCTCTGTGAAACTGCTTAACGGCAAACTAGCCAGACAAAACTTCCTATTCCGTTTCACTCTAGCTGCACTGGGCGGGTCTCAGGGATCTCGCAGCATGAACAATGGTTATCATAATAATAACAATGTTTATTCCCAAACTGTGGGGGGCATACCGTCTGGCATGATCATACGTTTACAGTGGGGACTGCGCGAAAAGAGGACAATGTCACAGACAGTGGGAAGTATTCGATGAAATAATAATAAAGGTTGCTTCCCAACTTGTAGGGAACAATGGCAATGAGGTCTGACTACTTCAAAGACCTAGCCGGCTGGCATGAACTAAGACTGAAAAACCATTGCTCGCCCTGAGTGATCTTGGGAGGTTGGATAGATGGCCGGAGTCACCGCGAGCTAAAGTGGAGATGGAGGTGGAATAATTCGAATTGGGGGAACATGGCAAAAGCTGTCTCAAAAATGATCTTTATTCTGAAACTCAACAGACTCACTGGTTGCACTGTTGTATGGAATTCAGGTGCAAAGAGATAGGTTGGATGGAGACATGGTACTAAAGCATAGGGCCAACCTAACACCCTATGCGGAGTTGAGCCTGTGAAAGAGGCAAGCCGAAATTGCACCAGAAAACCAGGCTGGTCAAAGTTGAGCGAAAACTTATCGGGTGTGAAAGAACTCGTCCCAGAGACTGTTGAGGCCAGATGAAAAATTTGCTCGCAGTTGCAATTACTGGCTCGAGTGGGCGAGGGATTTCGGTCGAGATTCGTTGTCGCCGTTTTGGGGTCGGGCATAATAGGTTCTTGGAAGTGTGAGTTGATGGCAGCACGCACGGCACCACACGAACTGTATGGAAAGTTACTGAATTTTGTGGGAAGTACAGACACACAGAGATGGTTAAATTAGAACGAGTGAATGTCATGGAGGCAATTGGGTTTAGGTGTGGAGTTTGTTGTGTTTGCAGCTAATGGAAGGAGTGGGCTGGAGGGCACGGTCGAGGGAAGGAATGGAGCATTTGCGGGTATGCTAGCAAAATGGGTATGGCAGTGCCGTGCCAACGTTGGCCTGACATGCTTCAGTTTATAGACGCCCCCATAATGGATGCCACATTTAAGGTGATTGGGCCGGATGCACAGTTCTTTGGGCAGCGGGTTTCATTTTAGGCTGGCCGAGGAAACAAGGTGGAACGAAGCCGATATGGGATCGCAGTTTTCTGGTTCGTTTGGGGATCCTGTGGTTGTAGATCATAAGTCAGGTGGATTGGATAACGGCCAATCAAGTCGTCCTAACCTGGCATTACCGAAGTTCAAGGCTTGGAAAGATGAGGGGGTGCGATGAGATTAGCAAAGCATGGTGAGTTTGAGGAGACATCAATTGGGATTATGTGCAATAATATACACAGAAAGAAAAACTTGAAGTCTGCCGCGATTAGAGTGATGACAATTGACTATATGGAATAGGATATGGATGGGTTTGTACCTAATAGACTGGCAACCGGGGGGTGCGTTTGCTGACTTACGATATTAAATTACAAGGGATCTAGTAAAAGCGCGCAGTGTGGTTGTGTGGAAATCAGACTAGGAGAGTTGACGTGAGTGAACTTCCAAGATGACTGGTTGATCTGGTATTTATTACATGAGTTGGGTAGTAACAGGAGAGAAAGTACGTGCAAGAGAAATAGTCACCAGACCCCGAAACACTGCTATAGGCTTTGATCCGTAAGTAGTGCACAACGATGATGACTTTCGTGTCCACCTCGGGACCGCCAGGTAGATGTGTTCCTTGTTTGGCTAACGAAATGGGCTTCGGTGCGGTTTAGCCGCAATTCTGACGGAGGCGGATACAGGTATGCCCGTCGATGTAGGCCATGGGCATTGCAGAGTATCTTCAGGTTATCCCGGATTTATTTTTTATTTGTTTACTTTTTGACAGATGAGAGGCCAGTTTTTTCGTCTGTGGTTTATGGCGTTGCCAGATACATAACTCAACTAAGGCAAGCCGAACACCAGCAGCAACAAACAGAAGTAAGCAATAATTTTTTGGTTTCTTGAATTTAAAGTCCAAGCTCAGAACCGCCGGCGATGAGCGATGCACCCGTGCTACTGGAGGGTTTGTGTGTATACGAACGCATCATGGTACAACGTAACATGGCGATCTTCCCTGCGGGGGTACCCTTCCACCACACGAGGTTTCCATCCCTCGTGTATGCTACCAGATCCACAAGGTGGAAAATTGTCCAAGAAGTCATAAATCCGGTTTGTACATTGATGAACACTCAAGCTACCATATTTTTTCTGGTCGGAGGGAAGCAAGGCCAGTAAAGGCAGTTCAGTCAACTCGATCAAGCAAACAAGATACAGATGCTGGTTGATGTCAGGGAATACTGCAAAATCACTGCGTCAAAAAGGAATTTCGAGGCATCCGGGGCCATATGGCTTTCCAGTGATGGATTGTAGTGGCTGACTACAAAATTGGAATTCATCATAGATTTGATAGAGAAAAGGTGCACTGGTGCCCTTCTGACCATGTCCACTTGAGGCCGGTTTAGTAGACTACGGAAGCGGTGCATGGCAGACAGAAACGAGCCATAGTGTTTGACGATACATGAGAACGACCTGAAAAATTAAATGTGCGGGGTCACCGACATGCATTTGGGAGCAGGTGTTCTGCACTTTCAGTCAGCGACGGTGTTCTTCGGCGGAATTATCAGAACTCATCAACTGCACGACGAGGGTGCATTTTTCTCAGTTCAATCTGAAAGGTGTGTTCTTAAACACGACGAAGCACGTAATCAACGCACTGCCACAATTCGTGGGTGTTGGAATCCAAAAGGACGAGATTGCCCGGCTAGACGGCCACCTCGGATCATCCATCTGCATCGTACACATGATCTGTTGAAATATGGCTGGCGCTGTCGTAACGCTAATCGGCGGCCAAGTATAATGCGACGCGTCGTCCCTGATGTCGAACGTTTGAGGGATTTTTCCTCGACTTCAGTCGGGAGTTAAGCCTCCGTCAAATCAGCCTTTGCCAATCGTTTAATCCACTCAGTTTCGCGAAAAAGTCGCCCGGAAGAGGCGGAGGTTACTGGTAGGTATTCAGTGCAGCGTTGAAATCGGTGGAAAAATTCGCAGACAAGTGGCTAATCCGGTTGGCTTCCTCAACCATTGCGAGCGGTGCAGCCCACGCAGAGTATCTGGTCTGTCGGAGAGCACCGGCCTTCTGTATTTGAGTCAGTTCTTGGTCCAAAATGGACAAAGCTGCACATGATATTGTTAATCTGGGATCGAAAACTGGTCCTAGCAGTGGGAGCGATTAGTCTGCTTCCTACTCTTTTGCACTGTCCAAGCCTTTGGCAAAAAATGGTATATAATGTTACGACATGTCCTGGAGTAAAAGCTTCTCAAAAAGAGCTTGTGCAAAATCGCCTCGGATTGCTTCGTGTGTAAGTTTACAAAGTGCATTAGTAAATTTTTCCAGCAGGTCCAGTTCGTTGATCCAATCAAGCGCCATGAGATCGGTCCTGAGGTATGGCGTCGTCTAGCACGTGGTTTGCGCCTCTGAACCACTAGAATTTATGGAGCGGTCACTTTCGGAAGTCGATTCACGCACAAGCCAAACTCAAGCAAATGATTGGCCGGTCCTAGTCACGTGATCCATACCGAAACGTACAACCACTGCATACGCGTCTCAGCTGCTCGCGGCTTGGTGGCTGAGCGGGGTAAGCCTGGGGAGCACCCCTGGTGGTTCGCGGTTGAACTCCGGACGACGTCGCTTGACACTTTCGAATTTCCCGGTTAACATGTTGCTTCATGAGATGCTGCTGCTTTTGCTGAGCCATATAGCACTAAAAATATGGTTCACCAAGATGAAAGCAACCTAACGTTCCGAATGCGAGGACTTGACTATGGTTACATATCCATGACTATAGTTATGTTTGAATCAAGATTTCCGAAGACAAATGTCGAGTTCCTCACAAGCTTTAAGTG